ACCATCTCTCCAGCCCCCACTTCCCACAGTTTTGGGAGGGTCTTAACTGTAACTATCACTAGCTAGAGCAATTAGCACCTAAGAACTGAAAGGACTTGATAATATCTTTAACTCTACCTAACTTCATTTTAACCTGCAGGTGTACCCTGGCTATAAGGGATGACTGTGACAACATAAAATTTTCATAGAGTTTTCTTAATTCTTTATTAACCCCAAACCTTGCTTGGTTATATATTTCAAAGAAGTTGTAGGGCAAAAATTGTTCTTTGGTTTTGCCACATCAAATTCTCCTCGCTTCCAGAATTGCCTTCTGTGGCCCAGTGGCATCTCCTACTGCAGTTGACGACCAGAGGACAAGAGCTGCTACATTTGCTCTCTATTTTTTTTTTTTTTTTTTTGGTAGGCAGTGGTTAATCTAGTCATTAAGGTTAATAGATCATGTTAGCAGGATATGCAAAAGAAAAGTCCCACTGATTTGACTCAGATATATCAAAATCATGGCCATATTGTTGAGGCAAGGAATGTAACCGTGAGTTTCTGAGTCCTTCAAAGCCTTGTTGAGATGAGCATAATTCTAATTCCACAAGTGCAATAATTAGAGGCAGAGCCCAGTCTGGAGGGGCTGTGAGGAAGGAGGGCATGAAGGCTTCCCTTGTATTTATTACACTCCTTATTTTTTTAATTATATATAGAAAATGCCCATTGAAATGAATTATCCCAATCAGCCATCAAGTTAATTGCACTTATTTCTGTTCTTCCTAGGAAAGACAGGCGACCACTCAGTGTGTAAACACTGCTTATCACTAAGACTTCTTTCTTCACCATGGAGCCTACCTAGGGCTGGAAGCTCCTTTTCTAAAGTCAGTGAGGGTTGAGTTATCCCACTGAGTGAAAAAAGAAAAAATGCTAATTAAAAAGTATATCTTGAAGGTGGACATTGGGACGATTTAAACTTTTTTATTTATGTTTTTATTTTTATTTTTTTGGTGTGCATACTTTTTTATTGAACTTTTAAATTTCATATATTTCCCACTCAAATCCAGACCCCCTCTCCCATTTATGCCTCCCCCATCCACTCACTGAACCCTATGCACTCTGCCATACATGCTGTGTCCTATTCATTCAGGTGTTTGTACCCAAATGTCCTTCAGTATAAATGTGTCCCCTGGAGTCTAGTCAGCCCATCCATCCAGTGGTCATTGTATGTAAGTCATACTCTCCTTCACTCAGCAGCAATCAGACTCAAATAGTTCTCAATATAGTGCTGGCCCACCACCCATTTCTCACCTTTCCTTTGGGCTCTTGTTTAATTGAGCTGACATGGGTCCTGCACTCAATGCCACCACTGCCACAGCCTCACGTGAGCAAGCCTCCAGTAGCTGGAAGCCTCCACCTACCTGTGTTCATGAACTAGCCATGGCTCTTACAATCTTTCTGCCTCCTCTTCTGCAATGGTCCCTGAGCCGTGGGTGGGAGTCCCACCCTATACTCTACAGTATCTTCTTCTCCAAAACTTGGCCAGTTGTGGCCTTCTGTGTACATCACACTCTGATGCACATGGAAGCCTCACTGGTGAGAGTTGAGGGATGCATTAGCCCTCTCTCTACCCCTTATTTCACTATATTCCTTGAGCCTTAGTTATTAGAGATTCAACTGCAGATGTGTCACCTAGTGCTGGGTATCTCCCAGATGTATGTTCCCTGTGCCTGACCAGATGTGCAACTCTGCAGTAGCCATCATCTGTTCCAAAAAGAAGCTTCTTTGATGAGTGCTGTATGGCATGCTTTTCACGCTAAGGGAGGTCTCTTCTATCTGGAACTGCATTCCCTGCCAAGAAGCACCCAGATATATATGCATTAATGTTCAGACACTCTGTGCATTTTGAGGAAGATGTTAGTTTTTGTGCATTTTCTTTTTTTAATATTTTTTATTTATTATTTTTATTTTATGTGTATGTGTGTATTGCTTGCATGTAGGTAAGTGCACCTGTGTTGTGCAATGCCTGTGGAGGACAGAAGAGGCTGTCGGATCCCCTGGAACTGGAGTTTCGGACAGTTGTTAGCTGCCATGTGGGTGCTGTGATTCAAACCTGGGTCTTCTGCAAGAACAACCAGTGTTCTTAACCACCGATCCATCTCTCTAGCCTCATGCATTTTCTTTTATAATGATCATTGCCTTTTCCTTTGTTTTCTTTTTCCATATGGAAAACAATGTGAATTTTAATAAATCCCCATCCACTAGGGGTCAGCCACTCGAACTTGGTAGACCTACCAGGAGCCACATTCTTAAGGAAAACTGGCTAACTGCCCCCCCCCCCCCCCCCAGAAGTTTTCAACTGTTCATGTCTCTCAATTTAGGGGTGGGGGCATATGAGCTCCTCCTCCACCATGCTAGAATGTTGACTGGTTTGATCTTGTGCAGATCTTGTGCAGGCAACCACAGCAGTTGTGAGTTCATGAACACAGTAGTCCTATCTTGTCCAGAAGACACTGGTTCACTCTGCTTCTCCCAGATTCTGGGCTCTTACCATCTTTCTACCCCCTCTTTCATGATGGTCCCTGAGACTTTCAGGGGCTTTGCTGGAGAGCTGGTTCAGCAGTTAAGAGAGTAGTGTTCTTCCAGAGGACTTGAGTTCAGTTGCCAACACCTATATCAAATGGCTCGTGACCACTCCAGCTCCAGAGGCTCTGATACCCTCTTCTGGCCTCCATGGGCATGTGCACTCAGTGTGACACACACACAAATAAAAACAGTGAAGTCTTTAATCTTCGTCAATGAACATATGCAATTTAAAAAGTTAAGTATCATTTCAAATCAATTCATGTAGCTGCCTATACTTTAGGAGCACATATAGATTAAAAGGGCAAGATATTGACATTATGACTAGAAAAGAGGAATGAGGTAATGAATGATTTCTTTTCCTTCTTTCACTGTTTCATTTTTATTCATGATATTTTTACATGCTACGATAGAACAAAAAATACTTCTTCCTTAAAGAGCTCAGAGAAGCTGTTTTCAATATTTCTTTTTAAGTTAAGACCACTGCCATCCTCTCTCCACTCAGGTTAATAAGTTCTCTGGAAAAGTCTCTTGCTTACATAGCCCGAACCCTCACTGCTACTGGGATAAGTCACACATCTGGTGGTCTGGCTGTTAATACACATACCCTGAGATCATTTGGGCCTGGGATGGGGTGAATCACAAAGTTCCTCATACCCTGATGGTACAACAGAGGGAAAAGCTGAGTGAGAACTGCATATGGTCACATGTGCTTGCCCTTCTTCCTGCTCTGTCTAACCTGGTCCTGAGGATTTGAGCCCAGGCTACCCCAGGTTTCTGCTCCCCATTGAGTAACAGGCTGCCGCAAGGCAAAGACTGAACCAAATGTCCAGCTGCATAATGGGAAAAAAAGTGGATCCCAACCCTTTACCTCTAATCACTCTTACATGGCTTGACATTTCCTTTTTGTCATAATAGAAAAAAGTGTTACCACCTTTTGTTTACTTACTACCTACAGTCTCTCTGATCCACACTGAAATGAGCTCCATGAGAGGAGGTTTCTTTTTATTAAGTGATATTTGCAAGTAGCTAACATAGAGCCTTTACATGGAAGGGGCTCAGTACATACTTTTGAATGGGTGGATCTAAAGTTATTGGGGCTAGGTGTGATGCTGCACACTTTTAATCCCAGGGAAGAAGCAGGAGGATCCCTATGAGTTTGAGACCAGCTTGGTCTACATAGTGAGTTCCAGGTCAGCTATCAATTGGGTGTGTTAGCATTCTAAGATGTACCTCTTCATCTTGTATAAGGAAAATAAAATGGAGCCCCTACTCCTGCCTCTCATACACCATACCTGTCTTGACATCTTGGCAATACACAAGAAGAACAAAGTTATCACCTTTTATTTTCACTGTTCATAATCTCTCCAACTCACACTCTGTATAAGTTCAGAGAGCACCCATACTTCCTGTCCCCCCATACTTCCTGTCTACTTTTCTCTATCTAATAGTTCTCCATTGCATTTATCATTATCTGAACTACTACACAGTTGTTGGTCCCTATAGTGTAACCTCCACGAGACAGGAATTTTGTCTTTTTTATCGTCCGCTCCCATGAGAACAAAGCTTGACATATTGGGAGGGGGGAGAAAGGGAGAGAGGGTGGGAAGCAGAAGGATAGGATCATGAAGTAAGAGGGAGAGAGGAAGAGAGAGACAAGACACCAAAGACAAGAGATGCATTTTTAAAAAGAACATCTCCATTTATTTTTAAATCTGAACTTGCATAAAACGGTGGTTAGTTGCATTGAATCCAAGCATCCTTGAGATATGAACTGCAGATGAGCCCAAGTTGGACCTTTGTTCTCACCATAAGATCCAGCGGCCACAGCAATCATCCTTATAACTTAATTTGCGTCTGCTCAGCTTTGTGGTGGCCCCAAATCCATGTGGCTCCAAGAGGCTTCCCTGGAGTGACAGTAGGAATGTGCTGAATGCTTATAACGAGCACTAGGACATATGGGGCCCTGACTACACTTCTTTCACAGGCTGTTGTCATCCGAGATGATGGTGAAGAACAGGAAGGGACCCCAGGAAACTCTGGGGTGGAAAGACCCCAATGAGGTACCAACTCCTAAAAGGATACAGGACCTAAAAGAAACTTAAGCATCAAGTTTCTGAGCATCAGCTCAGTTCCTCTTCCCTCCTGCCCCCGCCCCC